GCTTCGTTGGGTTGTCAAGTGTCTGTACATCGCTCTTCATTCCCCCTCCTCCTGTTATCCTATCTTTTTTTCCCCTCACTTATCTCGGCGCCATTCTTTTTAATACACACCCGAATATGGATACCTTGTGTTTTCAAAACAGTCTGCATCCGCTACATCAATGTCTCCTACATAACCCCCCTTTTTTCATCAACACAAGACTCGAAGAAAACAAAAGCACTTACGATACTCTTCTTTTATGAGAAGTATTCCTTCTGAGCTCCCCAAAAAAATGAGCACATTATTCACGACAGACAAGAGTGGGGTTTTTTTTGGTCTTTTTGTCCAAATGTGGTACCCACCCCACCACTGTACAGTGATCATCACCAAAAGATCATTACTCAAAGATATTCACTAGACCCCCCCCATCAAAAGAAATGAACAATCACATTGATGGTTGTATATCTGCTCAACAAAATGAGAAAGTGTATGAGAAAAGAAAAGGAAACAAAAATACAACAAGGACACGATGTGGGAAGTTCCACACAGCCTATGTACACCATACATACATACATACAATTCTTTGATGTGTTTTTTTTTGTGATGGGTTGAAGCGGAGGAAGAAAGAGACAAGTGTGTGAGGAGAGCGTTGAGGACTGAAGGAAAAAGGATCTGATACTATATATCGCGCTTTTGCTTGTATAAATATCCGTCGCTTTTGGATGGCTCAGCAAGCCTCTCTTTCCGGCTCATAGATTTGCAAACAAGTCGAGTGAGAGTAGAGGAGAAGGACGACAGAAGCAGTCGTTTTTTTGTTTCCTCTTCTTCTCTACGCCAAACTGCCCATCGGATCTATCCCCCCAAAAAAAGAGAGACAAGGATCAGCATGAATACAACATCCAGAAGAGAGAGAGAGAGAAGAGAGACGAACCCCAAGCAGGCAAGACGAGCGGCTGGGCCTCCTCATAGACCTTCTTCAACTCCGAAGGGACGACGAGTTTGGGGATGACGATCTGGTAGACGAATTCGTCGAACCAGGCGTTAGTCATCATGAAGTAGCCATGGTCGCCGGCGGTGTCGCTCCAGCTGTTCTCGACCTTGAACCGGACCGGGTTGCCTTCGCCGTCTAGATGGACTGCCGTGATCACCTACATATCCCCTCCATATAGATACCAAATGAGTTCCTCTTTTTTCTTGGCAATGAACCGTTAGAGAGAGAGAGAAAGAGAGAGCCTGACCATCGCATGGGTCATCGCACTGTCTCCGGTCTGTAATCGCTCTGACTTCGACAGATGCGGAGCGATCCCGAACGCGCTTTCGTAATCTGATCCAAGCCATCAACAAAGCAATTCAGATGGGACAATTGATGATGGGGATGAGGGGGCCAAGGGAGCGGAAGAAAGACTAACCAAAGAGCTCGGTATCCATGATCCCGTAAGTGGAGGTAGACATCTTTCCGACATCGCAGCCGAACCACACCGGCCGGTCGGCCTTGATCATCTTGATCACTAATTCCTTGAGTGTCTCACTGTCCAAACACAATCAAATAAGATGAATACACGAGTCCCCTTGGAGGGAGAGCAGGGGGACCCTCGACGGACCTGGTCGTGTTCACATATCGCACCGCCCGGCCACCCCAGACGTTTCCTAGCCTGTTGACCGTGTACGATTGTAGATAATCGTGTCGGGGATCATTGATCAAACTGATGTATTCAGAAGCCTACCAAAAAAAAGGAAACCTCATCAGCTGGATATCCATGCGATAATAATGCGAGCAGAGCGCACCTTGAACCCGGAACAATGGTTGTGGTAGAAGTCCAACGGGGTCGACGTCAAGGAATGCGCCTTCCCATTCACATCTAGGTATTCCCAGGTAAACGTCGAGGTCGCTGATGGTGGAGTTCCGAACGCTATGGCTAAACATTGATAGACTTTCGCCATCTGTTTTTTGTTTTTTTGCATTACCAATTAGAGCCGATAATCAGTATAGATGAAGAAGTGAGAGGAGTATGAGAGATTGACCATAGTTTCCTTCGCTTTGCGAGCCTCCAAGACGGCCAGGGCCTTAGCAGCATGGAAGTCTTTGCCCAAGACATTGACGGCATGGTGGACGGCGTCCTCGTGGACCTGGCGGAGTTCGAGGGCGAAGTCGCGCAGCTTGGAGGTCAAGAGAGTCTTGAGCCCTCCCGAGTTGGACGAGTGAAAGGACTCGTCGTAAATCGCCTTGGGCACCACGCCGTACTTCTCGATCAGGCCGACCACCATGTCCCATTGTCCTATATCAGCCATACGTCCTTGTTAGTACTCTCTCTCCCTCTCGCGCGCTCGCTCGACGGCTTGCTGCTCTTGGCTTGGCTGGATCCTCTTACCTCCATCGCCTTCCGGACTCGATGATAAATGAGACACAATCCGCGCATCGATCGGCTCGTCCGCTAACTGATCATATTCATTAAGAAGTAGATGTTAGTATACTGGGATCGATCGCTGTGTCTCATGGTATTTGTCAACTCACTTCGATCATGCTCTCTAGGTAGTAATTCGCCTTCTCCAAGGTATCATAGAAGAATAAGTAACTTTGACTGAGTTCGAAGTCACCTGTTTTTTTGGCAAAAACAAATCGAAAAAGATAAGTTAGTTTTAGGATAGGTGGATTTTAAACCAAGAAGGAGAGAGATGGATCATACCCAAGTTGAATTTCTTGACGATTCCTACTCGGAGTACGTTACAGGTGGCAAACAGCCAGCATCTACCTGAGGATTTTTGATTAGTGACCGGGGTTCTTAATTACAAACGAAAAACGAAGACCAGAATCAGTTTGTTGAGCAGAAGTGAGATAGAAAGGAAGAGAAAGAGACGAACGGTTGGACGGATAAGGTATGAGAGAAGACCTGTTTATCGGCAGCCAAAGCCTGGCGACTGAGGAGGGCGGTATTGAGGTTCTGTTTGCTGAGGACGGTGCTCGCGAAGTGGGCCTTGTCGTTGCGCTCGAAGGCGTTCTGCCAGCGGGCGAAGGTGTCGAGGGAGATCTCGGAGGCGGGGGGATGGCCTTCGTGGGAGCTGGGCTCGATCATCTTCGTGAGTTGTCGACGGTCGAGGGTGGATTGGCTCAGATGGAGCCTCGAGAGCAGCGCCGCCGTCGACGCCGCATCCGCTCGCGCTTGGCTCTTCTCTTCCGTCGAGGAATACGGCTTTCCGTTGTTCGTCACCATCGCTGGGCTGGTCTTGCTGGTTACTTTGGATGCTTGTGAACCCATCTTGTTTTGTTGTTTATGTAGTTCGGGCTTGTTTTATATTCTTCTTGCGATTTGGTGGGCAAGTGGTGGTGGTAGTAGTAGCTGGGATGTTTGGTTTTTTTGGTGAGGAAGGTGTGGCAGTGGGGGGGAGGAGCAGGTGATGTGGGGTTTATGTAAGCCAGGGACCAAAGTCGGCGGTGCTGTGAAATCAGCTCGGAACTTCAACCAACTCGATCTGGCCACCACCCATGACAACTTCCACCGCTTGATCATGAGCTGATTGATGATCAACTACTACTTGACTCCTCTTGGGAAAATCTTCTTGATCCATTCTTCATACATAGCAACCAGGAGAACCATCATCATGAAATCCTCCTGAGTAATACATATATATCATCCAATCTCACGTCTCATCTAGTCTCTAGATTCTTGAATCTTGATCAAAGATTTACATTGAGATCTTTTGGATGGATGGATGTTCAGAATTATATATAGGTAAGTACTAGCTGTTGTTCAGATAGCATATTCTGTCTTGAGTAATGAATTACCTTGCAAAAAAAAGTGAAACAAAAAACTCAAAAAATGAACATAACATCACATTATTAACCATTGTGCATACATTTGGTGATCTTTCTGCACGCCACATACCAACTCGGCAGGTTTCTGAAGTGTTGCCTTGAACCAAGAGGAAAGATTCCAACAAGATTGTTGATTGGATTGGCTGTACAGCACCCTCACATTACCATGTGGGTCATCACATACATTTACATGCTCATGTAGCAACATTTTATAAAGCATTTCTGGGACTCACTAAAATCAGCTCTGGAATATATCTGCAATTGTGGACCCTGCTGATCTTCATTCATGTTACTTCTCCATCCAAAATACAAATTCTTGGATGATTTTTCTTATACAAGGCCTGTTATAAGGTCCTACCTGACATGTTTTTACAGGGCTTCATGAGAATTTGACCATGTCTCTGATTCAAGGGTAGCAAGAATTTTTGTTGGAATTTTGCTGCTCCTTTTCCCACTCTCTGCCCCTTTCCCATTCTCTTTCCCGCTCTGCTCTCTATCTCTCTCTTTCCCTCTGAAGAAATTTGATTTGAGTTCTTTAAAACTGAAACCAGAACTGAGGAAGGGAGAAACAAGAAATGAGATCATAGAAGATAAGCATGAATAAAAAAAGAGAACAGAAGAAAATGTTGAGCTCTGAGCTTAAGATTTAGGAGAGAAATTTTGAACAGACTCAGTGAACACTTTTTGAAGGGATAAAAAATTTGTCAGGACTCAATGAGGAGGAGAACCAGTGGTTTCAATTTCTTGTAGTAGGCACATCATAAATAGACTAACTACAAGAGCTCAACATGCGGTTGCAAATAAAATGGATAAAAAACAATAACAAATAGAACCAAAAAAGAATATTCTATGAATACCAGTAGGGTACAACCACAGTCAAAAGAAATGAAATAACTCCACTCAAGAAGATAAGCAGACTCACTAGAGAGGAGATAAGCCCTCCTCAGTCAGAGTTCTAAGACTACAAGCTGGAGGCCAGACTTCATAACTAAGAAGATAGGACAGACTATAATGAGATGAGATTCAAGTTGATAAATGGGTAGATCCTAATGATAAAATAGAACTTATTGAGTGAGGCATAAGTAAGAAAAAACGTAAAGGAGGCTATAAGAGCATGGAGAGGCCAAAATTCGAGCAGAAAAGAAACAAGGCATACCACTAATCTATGCAAGATATAAATATAGATGAATATTCTGAGTGAAGAGAAGATAGTTTTTTAGGATGAAAGAAGACTAAAAACAGAAAGAAATGAACAAAATGAGTTAGTTCAACTTCTTCCAACAAAAAACAAGAAAAGTAAAAAAGAGAGAAAGAATGACAAACAGCAAAAAAGAGGATGTGTTTAAGATTTGACATGTAAGAGTGGGAAGTCATGAAGATTGGGATACTCAGTCAAGACACAAAATAAAGAGGGAATGAGGGTCAGGATC